CCTGCCAAAAGTTTCTGACAATCGTTCAACTTTCGCTAGACTCGTGCGAGGCTTATCGTCTCAAACTTTGGATAGTCCAACGAATTGCGTGACCAAAATTCATACTTATCATTAACAGATCTAAGAAAAAGGATCGTTTATATAATAATAACACAGATGTGGTAATTGCAGTGAAATTAAATAATGCAACACGATGCTTTGTAACTTAATCGCGCAAGTACGGATACATTGTTTCCGATGTCGTGCATTATCGCGATAGTTAGCACCAATTAACAAATAATAGCAAGCTTCGAGTCAACTTCGTCTAATAGCGACTTCTTCCGATAAAAATTCGTTATTATGCACACATTAAAGGTATCCTTGACTGCTGCCTGGCTCTGCAGACTTCTCCAACTCGTACATACACATTTGCATTCTATTATACAATTTTTTGTTCTCAATTTATGCTTGACGATAAAAATATACCATCTGCGTTACGCCAAAGGTCGGGCTAGCTAAAATAGAATTATATTATTCTTAAGATGATTCGCGAAAACTTGGTAAGACGACGGAGCTCGAGTCTCGAACGATTACGAAGTCGTTAACTGGCAATTAAACGCGAATCAAAGGAAATTGATGTCGCGACGACCAAACGTTGAAAGCGGATGTTTGAGTTTCGCAAGCGGATAAATTGGCTGTGATGCAGAATGGAAATTTAGTAATTACTATGCGGCATTAATTCAACAGTGAAATATTGTTCAAGAAAAGGAATAGAGTCTATGAAATTGTATGTATTGTTATTAGCTGTTAATTTGCAGTATGTAATCAAGGAGTGTCACTAGTTCCTGAATAATAGAGACATATTTCAAAATAGAATAATTTTTTTCGTGTCAAACTTCATTTTCTTTAGAGTAGTAATTTAAAATCTTTTGTGGCACATTATATAATAAACTAAACCTTCTAACGTCCCACAGAAAATTGAGTTGTTTGATCTAATATTAAAAGAGTTATTCCGTTTTAAAATGTTTCTGAATATTAATGGAAGTCACTATATAAGGCGGAGAAATTGATGGTGTTAGATTACGTAGGCGTAAGCGTGAAATCTCTGATGTACCAGTTATACCAGAAAATGATTTACAATACGCCTAAAGATTCTTCGTTTACTCAAGTATTTTCGGTTGCGACGCAATAGAACACTGCTTCGAAGTTTTCAAACAATGTTCGACACAGATGTTTCGTCTACTGTGCGTACGTTATAATATACAGTGAAGTCATTGAAAAGCCCCGCCGCGGTGCTGCTTTTCAGCAGCTGCCTGTGATCTTTCTAAACTTTACACAGTCTATTCACTGTTCTGAAGCATGAAATTCCTAGGTATGTATCATTTTACATACACAGAAAATATATATAAACTAAATATGATATTCTTGTTTCCTTTTATTGATGTTTTATATGAATTTTTCAGGCATGTATCATTTTACATACATTCATATACGAATAAATCAATAAGAATTATTATATTTCATGGAACTTCTTTAATTAACCCATGGTTATAGTTGAACAAAATTTATTTTAAGGCGAAACGTTATTTTCGATTTCTTGGTTCACTTTGTGTATGCATCAAAGCGTTAAGAAATCTGTGGTCGATCAACCGTCTTCGATTAGGTTAGGTAACGCCGTCAAGCGACTATAAACTGGTCAGTGGTTTTAAAAATCAAACAAAATACTTGAAAGGCTTGGCAGCTGAATAGGTTTAGACAGAGCAGTACTGGTTTCCTAGCGATTGTATCCGAAGTTTACGCGTCAATCTTGGCTCTCGAAGAGAACCGTCTCGCGTAGACGTAGATAAATGCGAGTCCGAGGCGCCGGCGCCGTATCACTTATGCATTTGTGATACGCATACATGCGTGTGTATCCAATTATGCCGATATTCCGACGCACATGCGAGCCATTCAGCCTCGTTACAAATTCGTTGTTTTATTCCTTCTCGTCAAGAATCTTATATGAATTTTCTTTCACTATACTGTATTATATTGCATTTTTTATACTTTCACCATAGATTTACATGAAATCTGCGGTTTAGTAATTACTGTGAAAAAATGCGATTCGGCTTCCTTTTATGTTGCGTCTGTACGACCAGTTTTTGTGAGGTCGATTGTTGATTTATTACCAAGCATCAAGGCAGAAAGATGTGGCACGAGGTCAGCTGTATTTTCGAGGTTTCAAATTTTCTTTTCAGTCGTTTATGTCAATCTCGTGTAAGCAAAATCACGCAGCACCAGTTGACATAAGGAAAGGTGACGACGACTACCAAGAACCACTGGTATTTAGAGACAGATAAGGCCGTCATAAGTCCAACACTTGTTGAAGCCATGCGATATAAACAGCTGAGTCTTAAGGTTGCATGTGTCGTAAAATCTCTATTAAAAGTTTGAGAAATCTGTTGAAATGTGATGTCGAATATTTGAAGCGATAAACTTTATGGGAAAATGATGTTTAGAGAGAATTAAAGTTGATAAAATCGTTCGGCGTGTTCTTTTCAGTCACAGGGAATTTTTAACGTATAATTTCTAATATTTTAGTACATGGATTTTATACTTTTTTATAGAGAAACCTAAAAGAAGTAAGAAAGTCGATAATGAATTTTATTCAATTTGAAACATAAGAAGCTTTAGATTAGAAGAAGAAAATAATTTAATATTTAACTAAAGTGGATTTAATTCTTAAATTAGGTAATTCTTGTTTTATTATTTGTCGCGTTATATGGAAACAGAAGTCGCAGTCTCTTTGGCACGATTAGGAATTCGCGTTACAAGAACTAGCATTATACAGGAGTCTATTATACTCGTCTAATTGATAGTCGAGCACTAGAACAGTTTATTCAAACGGGAGCACTGCAATTTTTCTGAAGGGTTAATTAACCGACGCAGTACCGCGCCTGCGGTGTTTATTTATTGCGACGAGGTGAGACAGGAATGAAAGTAATTGCGTCCGTGGCGAGAGACTCGAGAAACGCGGCATGAATGGAAATTACGAACGGCCGATGCAACAAAAGATTTATCGATTCCGCAATTCCAGTCAAGGATATTCACAGTTGCTATTGTCATTATGCGATTTTTTCAGTTAGCATTAAATCTACCGGTAGTTTTTATACACCAATATACTACATTTATATTATTTATATTTAATTGCAATAGTGTTAAACAGTATAATTTACTTTTTAATTCTAATAAATAATATCAATAATATTCAGAGTTTCTATTCATTATACGATTTGAAACAATATAATTTACTTTTTAATTCTGAGAAGTAAAATAGCTGCTTCGAAAACTTCTTGAGGCTTCGTTCGCTTTTAAGACACCATACGAGCTTCTCTTAATTAAATCTAGTCTGGTATTACAAGATTAACACCGTTGGACTTGGCTGAACTCGTCGCAAGCTCGATAATATTCTAAATCTGTTAGGAAATTCATCCATCCTCTTCTTTCACCGAAATATCTTCATTTATGGTATTATAAAATCTTATCAGTTTCTCTGCGAGAAGGAGACCATCGTCGCGCGCGATTCGATTGCGGAGTCTGGGACAAAGATCGCAAAGAAACGCGCACTTTGTTCGAAGAGCGATCATGGTACCTCGCGGTACGTGAATACATGAATAAGCGACGCTAACGACGCTCGAATAAATTGGCGTCTCTTTATAGAGGGGACGACTGGGAGTTGAACGTTTAATCGAGCCAGCTTTCACGACGTAAAAATTTCAGTTGACGTCAATCGGCGTACATTCTATAGATACACACCCAAACGTCAATTATTGCTACATCCGGCCGCGATACAATTTGTCATGTGGAAGCCCACCGCTTCTTTTCAGCAAAAAAATTCATATAAACGCACCGAGTTAATAAATCTACATAAATGTAGAAACTGAATGATCCTCGTCCTGTTTTTTATTGTATTAGTTTCTTATATTGCGACTATGTAGATGCGAAAATAGTTTAGCTACATCGATTTTTCAATGCTTGATTAACATGTTTGATTGATAGACTAATTGCTGCAAATATAAACTTTGTATGTAATCATAAAGTACAAAATATCAAATAGAAATGCATGTAAAGGAATGTAAAGGAAATTGCAATCTTAAATGCATTTTCTTAACTGACTACCTTAAATCTTCTATTTTGCATAAAAATTCGCTGTCTATTGATTAAATACTAACAGATTTTATTTTTATTGACCTCGTGAAAGATAGAAAAATCATGCTTTGGAGGACTTTCTCTCTCTCTGTGCTAAGTACATGATAAAAAAAAGAAACTTTTCCATTGATTTCCTTTCTCTCAATCGCCTGGTCTCTAGTCTCTCATTTGTGCGTTCGGTCTATTCTCATATGTAGATTGCGGATTTTTATGCAAATTAAAACATGCATTGTATCACTTCAAAGAATGCGTTCTAAATAGACATTTATTTGAACATTGTAATAGGAACTCATTTTTTAAGCAAACATTCTTTATATTCACTGCCTAGATAATTTTTCTATAAATGCATAAAATGAATTGTGTACTCTATAGTTTTGCTGTTTTTACATTTCGAACAAGACATGATTAATTTTTTCCTGAACGTTTTGCTGACAATAAGCACGGATCACCGTTGGCCAAACCGAATCTGTTTGATCAAATTGTAAATGGACGAGGTAGCAGTGTAAATCGCTTCGTGAAGAAACATTGGCATCGTTGGACGGAATTTATACCGATCTGGGCCAACTGACTGATGCGAGCGCTTAATGTAGGGTCGCGTGTAAAACGTTCGGTCGACCCCCTTTGAGAACAGAACGACCGACGAGACGCGATGCTATCTATAAATTACTACGGACCGTCACACGTCTACGTGAACCGTCGCATTGTCCACAATCAGAATCCCCTTTTATATCTTTCAAGACTTCGAGTCTTAACAAATTTTCATACAGTCATATCAGTTTCTAGTTATTGGATTTAAGTTCAGCATTGACCGATGCCTTTTTATTTATTTGCAGATCAATATTATTACGCGGTGGGACCGTCGGGAGGATCCCTGCAAGATCGCGAACCAGTGAGATTCCATCTCGCCGAAGTGGAAGATGAAGCATTCCCGAGATATCGTCGTGCAGCAGAAGAGAAGTCGGTTTACCCGACCACGCAGGTACCGCACGAGCAACTGCAACCGCAGCAGCTGGTCACGCTGCAGCCGCACGAGCAACCGCCGTCGCAACCGCAGCCACAGACACAGCCGCAATCGCAGGCTGTCGTGAATGCCACGAACACGCCGATGAAAGTTTCCTATTTGACGGAGTATTCGACTGAATCGTCGATCGCTGTATCCTCCTCATCATCGCCATCCTCCCCGTCCTCGACGACCGGTGGTACCGGTGTACAACCAACCGAAACAAGCACGATTTCGGCTGATAAACAGGGAACTTTGAAAAAGCCAATTTTGTCCACTCCGAAAAATATTACCAAAACCAACGTAAGATTTTGTTCATTCTTAGTCTATATGCAAATAATTAGGATCGTATAGATATGTATTAGCTTTCTTTTGTCTAGGTCCTGTTATCGAGAAACAATTCTAACGCCAATGAAACTGCCGAGAGCAATAAGACGTCAACGAAAGACACCCCGGCGAAACCTGCAGATGAAAATGACGATAATGACGATTCAGATAGCAATATCGGAGATATATCCATTAGTAAGTTTTCAGACTGGAATAATAAGACCCTGACTCAACACAATATCACCAAGGCGGAGAACGACACGCATCAATATTATAACAGCACGTTCATCGTCGACGAGGAGATCGGGAAGAAATATTGGGTGGATATAGACAATCATCCAGATTTAAAAGTGAATCTCTTGCTCAGTCAGAGTCACCGACGTGCTGCGGTAAATGTTCACTGTAATCTTCATATGTAGACCGCGGATGTTTGACATAGGAACATGAATTAGTACGATCCCATATTTTATACTCGTTTCTCTACATGTACCTTTTTTAACCCACAGACAGTGAAATTGAAATTCGATTTCCCTTTCTACGGTCACAAAGTTCGTAATATCACGATCGCCACCGGAGGTTTCCTGTACACCGGCGAGTACGTTCACGTTTGGCTGGCCGCCACTCAGTACATCGCCCCATTGATGGCGAATTTCGACACGCGTTTATCGAACGAGAGCTTCGTGAAATACGCCGACAACGGTAAGTAGAAGGTAACGAAAATAATAGAGGAAAAAGAACTGAAACCTCGATTACGATTGTTACTACAGGGACAGCTTTTACGGTCGTGTGGGAGAAGGTGGTGTTGCAAGACAAACCAGAAGCCGGGGCGTTCACCTTCCAGGTGACCCTGCATCAGAACGGCGACATCGTTTTCGTGTACTCAGTGATCCCGTTGATGGTCGAACACATCGAAGACACGGCTCATCCCGTCAAAGTCGGCCTTAGCGACGCTTACATAATGGACAGAATAGCTTATTGTAAGTAAAATCATTTATTACAATATTAAAGTTTTATCATCGATTCTTGAATCTCCTTTCTTCTCCACAGTCATTCGGAGGAAAACGATTTACGAGTATCACCGCGTCAACTTCAATCGACAGGACATTAAGAACTGGACAGTGATTTATCTGAACGCTCTGCCCACTTGCTTAGGAATTGATAACTGCAGAGACTGCCTGACTAAACTAAAGGATTTCGACTGCAAGTGGTGCTCGGAATTGAACCAGTGCAGCACCGGGACGTTCAGATCGCGGCAAGATTGGCTCCTGAAGGGTTGCGACGTTCGGATGATAAAAGACGTGGACAGTTGTCCATCGGCGACCACTACGTGCAAGAATCACGTCGAGGAGTATGTCAATCCTGCTGTACACATGCAATCGGAGGAGTCGGTCACCGTTAACGAGATGAAAGCCATGTTCGAGGATTCAATGATACATTCTTTGAAGCACTGTAAGATCCCTTTTAAACATACAATTATTTAATTATAAATTAGTTAACATTTGAATGGATGATTTCAGCTCGGGGCAACATGAACATGGGAGTTTCTGGGATTATTGGAATCCTTCTTGCGATTGGTTTAGTACTTGGCTTGGTAGCGTGGGTTACGTACGCTTATCGCTATCCTCATAGCACGTCTGGACAGATGTTGATCAGGGTAAGAAAATCGTATTCCGTACTACGTGGAGGTAAGTATGTTTCATGTAAATCTAAAGTTCGTCTGTTATGTTTGAACAGTACCGACCGAGCCAGTGGAGTTGGCGAAGAGGAGAAGCTCGATACACCGCAGCAACGATTCACATGTGATGAGATGCAAAGCGCAGTCGACAGTTAGTAGAGAACTATCGGACCAAGCTTCCTATTAAGTATATCTACAATTATGTCAAAAAGTGGTCTGCAACTACGAGACAGTTTGCATGTGGCGAGACGCGCGTTTCATTCTGCTGATTGCCATAAAATTATCGATGTTAACGTAATCGGTATACATACATATCAGTTCCATTAAAAAGGATGAAATTATGGAACGTTGGTCTCCGGGATTACGGCGATTCAGCTGTTAATGTAGAGAAAACTTGTGGCCTTGAGCAAAGCGGGCGTGATGATAACGAGACTTCTATTCAGATTTTCGAATCGTGTACACTCGCAGTAATATTAATGTAGCAACGAATTTACACTTACAGTTCGATAATGCCTCGCCCGCAAAAAAGCACCGAACTGAAAATTTACGACCCATCATTTCCCCGCGGTTACTCGAAACTCAAAAGACTTAAACTGTTTCTACGCATAATACGATGAGAGAGACGGGGATCGTTTTACTCAGTCTTTACTGAAACGTTCGCGATACGTATGTATTTTCTGATTGGTCCAAGCAAAACCGTATATACCGTAAAAAGATAGGCGAGAAATCTTTAGCCTGGCTAAGAGGAGCATTCATGTGATTTTAGCAGCAGTGGTATACTTTGTTATTGTTTAAGAATTCGTTCTTTTTTCGTATCGTTATATAAATTACGATATTTGTTTATAAATATAAATATATATGTACGTGTATAATCTACCGCGACATGAAGAGCAATATTTTAATAAAAAAAAAAGAAGATGAAATCGATTAAACGACCAAGTTCTGATCTAGCCTATGGAAACTACAGTTCAACTAGAATACGTGAAAAATAAATGGCTCTTTGAGAAATGCATACATTAAGCGATTGTATCGCCGATTTTGTCTATTTTTTACATTCCGAATATCATAAATATTCTTGCGGAACAGTTAAAATGAACGAACGATGATCTATGCTCTGAACTGTAGTTTCGTTCTATTAAATACATTTATGTACATGCTGTGTGCGTACATCGACATGCACGAAACATATATATGTATTTCATGAAAGGAATTTCTAAATGCACGAGCACTGTAACTTAGCAGTAACGTAGATGAAGAGATGGTAAACAATAAAATATTCAGACATACTGATAATAGTAGAATCACCAATGTATATAGGTAGCATATTAAAGTAATACAATAATTTTTATATAATTTTAAGTACGTAATTGTATAATGTCAACAGGTGCACTTAATCAACGTTTTGATAGATTTATTGGCAACAACGTATATTAAGGTACTTCGTTTCTTTATGATACAAATTTTTCTAATCATTAACAGTTTAAAAAGTATCTACAAAATATTAAGTGTTTTCGAAGATCTTATGAATTTGATACAGTAAACTTTTATAATCGTAACGTTTTAATCTCGCGATTGACGTTCCTAAACAATTTTTGAAAATATTACAAAATGTGTCAGGAGTTAATTATAAAAAGAATCACAATTATTTTTTGTGACATTATTGTGTATAACCTAATTGATAGTTTGTGATAATAAATACTGATAAGCTTTCACGCCTATCTATACCTCCAAATTTTACAGTGTCCTTTACAAAAAGAAATATTCGTTTATTCAAAACAAAAGCGAAGTCCATTACTAATTTTTTATTTAATTTCAAAATAGGTTTTATTGACAAACACATTAACATATGGTATACAATTTTGTATACGAAATAAAAATATACAATTACCTCTCCTGATTAGCATCTTGATCGGAAAAAACCTTCTTCAGGATTCTATTACACGCAACTATTTGATCGGGATTCTCCTCTTGCTTCAATTCTTTTACGTAGCGTTCTAACGTAGATTGGAAATTAAGTTCCGGTCGCCGACACTCCTGCAGAGCGAGAGGTATGTCGTCGGTGGTCAAAGCATCAAGAATGCTCAGCAGCTGATCCCTAGCACATTTATTTCAATTAATAATCGCATTACATCGAACTAAATAACGAGGGAATGAAAGAATACCTAATCTCTGGAAGGAGATCGTCCATCGCTAGCAGACCTATTGCTTGCTCTATCAAGCCCATATTGACGAGCGTCGATTTTAAATCGTTTACGCCTTCCTTAGTACAAAGCGAAGATAAGAGGAACGCAGATTTAATTTGTAGTTTCTTTAAAGAACTTTGCATAGCTCTTAGAAGAACCGAATAGCCGTCGTTTATATCCATATACTTCAAAGACATTGGATGCTCCCTAACTATGCCTGTAAACAAATACGTTTGTCGTACATTCTCGACGACGAAACGATAATAGATTTTACTTACAAGAAACAGCATATAGCGCTTTGATCCTGACAGTCTCTGCCGGATCTGTGTCTATCATGTTCAGTAACGTTGGGAATAATCCTGTTTCTAGAATTCTGTCTTGGCAGAATGGATTGTTCTGAGCTAGTTCAGCAATTACCTCCGCTGCTCTCCACCTAATGCCACTATGAGGAGAGTTCAAGCAAGGGCCAAATATCGAAAATCCACCTATTTTATAGAAATCATTGGCGATGTCTATATTGTCTACATAGTCTGCGATTGTTTCTAACGCAGCCTCATGTTCAGATGTGTCATCGTCTGGACGTAAATCAACGACGTTTGATAAAACTTTAAGAGATTTTTGTAATTCTTCTATTATATTGATCGACAAGGAAGAAAGTGTTTGCTTCAAAAATTCTTTTCTCTGTAAACACAATGATTGTGTGTTAAGGCAACATTCTCCTGGGAGAATTACAGATTAGTATTAGAATATGATTGTTACTTCTTCATCCATAGGTTGAAATTGACTCTCATTTGTATTTTGAGAATTGGTTGCTTCCATTGCATATCGAAGCAAGCCTTGTAAATTTGTCGGCTGCCTAGGTTGATTCGGTACTGGCTGGGTCGTTCGCTGCTCATTGGTATTCATGTTTGATGGTCCTTCGATGGACAATGGCCTCGTGCTACTATTTAAACGTAGTTGCCCTTCACTTTTATTACTGTTTTCTGAACCTTGCGAGCTAAAACATCATTCATGATACGTATTATCATAATGCCTTCTGATAACCTCCAGAAGTGCAATCAAATTTATCGAAGAAATTCATAGGTAAAATAAATCATAGCCAAATCGGTTGTATATATAAAAAACAATATTTACTTATCCATTTTGTTCACAATTTTACTCGTGTGCGCTGCGCCCATTAATTAATCGAATCTGTCTTATACGAACGTTCCTTCGATCCAACCAAACCAAACACGCATGGTTGCGATAAAATTGTCTCGTTTCCTAAAATCCAAGAAACAGGAAGGGCCTCATCAAGAAATATCCTGTTCGTATTGAAAACAATTTTGACACTGAACCACTGGATCACTGGACTGGACCCACTCTATTCTTTGACTGTATATACACTATATATATATTTGACTGTATATATAGTCAAAGGCGACGGCACGTTAGCATTGCAAGCCTATGCCACTGGCAGTCCATGTATATATAAAAGGTCAAAGGTGGTATTAGTAAGCACCTTCAGAGAAGTACGGATGACGTGATGCGAAAGTGGGTGTGTCGGGTGTGCCTACTTTAACTTGCATTAACTTGCCGGCTATCGAACGCGACAGTCCACTACGTTTTTACTTTTCCACAACCGGTGTTGTTAATAATATCTCTTCTAAATACATTCCTTGTAAGTACATTTCGTGTAACGTATATAAATGCGAAATAAAATAACAATGTACAGTAGTTTATTTGAATAGTTATCCTACTGCTGTATATCGGATCGATTGATTTTTAAACTAGTTTCAGGTGATCATTTACACACGCAAACATGTCGCAACAACAATATTATCCGTACAAAGTAAGTAGATTATTATAATTATATTGTACAACATCTGCGGAATTGTCTCGCTACCATTAATCATAAGATTGATCTATTTCTGGTGCGAGTATTGATCACCCGTATTTTTAACGAGACAATCACCGTTTTGTTACGTGTTCCAGTTATTTTCCACAGCGCAGAGTTCTATTTCCATAAATTTGTAAATTACTTGTTCAAAAGCAAATATATAAAGTTTCTTATACTTATTTATTCTTCCTTATTATTTTAAATACAACTACATGATTACTTGGGACATTGTTTGATATGTGACACAGTGATACAAATTATAATTATATGATATTAATGCATAAATGAAGTTTTTGAATTCATTTAAAATCATGTTACAAGATCATTTTATATTTTACGTTATAGTGTACGCCTACAGTGTATCCCGCAGAGCCGTTTGATGCCAACGCGGATGCTGCGATGTTGCGTAAAGCAATGAAAGGTTTTGGTACGGATGAGAAGACTATCATTGACGTCCTCACGAAAAGAGGAATTGTTCAAAGATTGGAAATCGCTGAAGCGTATAAAACTTTGTACGGAAAGGATTTGGTCAGCGATTTGAAGAGTGAATTAACAGGGAAACTGGAGGATGTGATCATTTCTCTTATGACTCCGCTACCTCATTATTATGCGAAGGAGCTACACGATGCTATCAGTGGATTAGGAACGGACGAAGAGGCGATTGTTGAAATTCTGTGTACTTTAAGTAACTATGGTATACGCACAATCGCAGCATTTTATGAAAATTGTAAGTTAATTTATTAATACTCTTTTGTTTTTACTCGATCTTCATATTGTATTCATATTGATTGTTTGTTACAGTGTATGGAAAGACTCTTGAAAGTGAATTGAAGAGTGACACTTCAGGACACTTTAAGAGATTGCTGGTCTCTCTTGTTCAAGCGAACAGGGATGAAAACCAAGGGATAGATCAAGCTCAAGCTGCGGCAGACGCTCAGGCACTTTACGATGCTGGTATATATAACAGTGAACAAATTTTCTTAACAATAAGAAATTCTACTGATGTAAAAATTATTTTATTTAATTGTTTAACGACAGGTGAGAAACAATGGGGCACAGACGAATCACAATTTAACGCTATTTTAGTAACACGTAGTTACCAACAATTGAGGCAGACTTTTATTGAATATGAAAAAATATCTGGCCATGATATCGAAGTTGCTATTAAGAAAGAGTTTTCAGGAAGCCTTGAAAAAGGCCTTCTTGGAATAGGTCAGTATTTTATTAACATTGCCTTTATATTTACGATTTATCTATATTGTCATTTTCAGTGAAATGCGTGAAATCGAAAGTTGGTTTCTTTGCTGAGCGATTATATGCTAGCATGCATGGCATTGGCACGAAGGATCGAACATTAATTCGTATTATCGTTTCTCGAAGTGAGATCGATCTGGGTGATATCAAGAAAGCTTTTGAAGAACGATATGGAAAATCTTTGGAAAGTTGGATCGCTGTATGTATTCATATCGATCTCTTTTTCAGTAAATCGTATTCAGTATTTTTATCGCTGCTAATGTAATGTTTAACATTTTTAGGGTGACACATCTGGGGACTACAAGAAAGCTTTGCTTTCGCTCGTTTCTACATAATGGATGGAGATCTCTATAATAAATTCCGAAGTTGCAACACTTTGTGGCACAAAGACAGTAGGTGTGTCTTTAATATGTTGGAGTAACACGTTTGCTTAAAATGCTTACACCAGTTTTATTAACTAAATATATGGGCATAAAGGATTGTGCATCTTATTATACACTATACGCGCTCTCGAAATTTTGTAAGAGCTGGAACGGTACTATGATCTGTTTTTTACAAGCTAAAATTTATTTCTATATTTTTGAAATGTTTATCTATTTTACAATGAAAATCATGTATTTATACACAATGTTGTAAAAAATTTTATCAAATAAAAATCTATTATAAAACGTTATTTCATTGCCTATTTAATAGGGAAAACTAGTTTAAAGTACACTGGATAAGTTAGACGTGTTTATACGAATATATAAAATTTTATTGTATGCATTTAAATTCTAATGTTTCCAAGCTCTCTTATGTGTTATAACAGTATTTCTCAATTCATATGTACAATAATTATTACTCACTTTTTTTTATTCCTTAAACTTCTACGGATTGCACCTAGAAATTAGTCCCTGATTATTAAAGTTAATTTGTATATTCACTACTATAAGCATATAGAATAATAAGTTTGTACTTGTGTTAGATTTTTCTTTCCCTTTGCATTTCTTATCGTTTTTACACGTCTTATTGGCTGATGGATAAAACAAAGCTGGCATTCTTCCGAAATGTTTTTGCATCGGAGTTGGTAATGTTTTCTCTAATGGAATCCAAGAAGGATTAGGTAACGTCTGAAATCCTTGACTGTAAATCGTGTGCGTATCCAAGACACTTTTCCTAGAAAACAAAACATGAAAGATAAAGGACAATTCTGTTTGTTACTTAATAAAAGAATTCTTATGAACAAATTTTGCAGCTTTATAATTTGAAATCTTACCCTGGTCCTTCTACCGGTTTATAGACAGTAGCAAATGCTCCGTTTCTTATCGTATGTCTTATGATATACTGTCCCGAAGAGAAGGTTGAGAGAGACTGTATAATATTGTGAAAAATGACTAACGAATCTTCGACTTTGACATTGAAGAGTCTCTTAATCTCATTGTTTACAGATACTGCCGTACGATATTCTATTTGTAATACTTCTGCTGTCTGTGCTGCTATTCGAACTGAAATTAATATCATCATCTACGTTTAGATGTAATAAAAAGATTTATATATCTGTTATTTTTAAGACTTGAAGTTGAAATTTATTTACCTCTTGCAAGACATGTATCCGGTCGAAATATCAGAGATATCCATTGCCTCAGTGCCTCCTCCAATGTCACAGCTTCAGCACCGAAATCGAGTTGATGCTCTAACTTTGGTGCTAGCAATAACAATTTTCGTAGTTTATTTTCTACCACCTGTAAATATATAAATATTGAACATATTTTTTTACATAGCACATTTGAAAAATGTCTAATGAAATATTCTACAATATAGACGAACCTCGTAGCCATCTGATTTCGTTCGAACTAATATTTTGTATTCTTTATGAACATTCTTCATTAATTCATTTTGTTCAGAAAGTTGTGGTGGTCCGATAGTAAATAACTTATATGATACTGAACTATTATTTTTTGCACCTATTCGTTTATAATATTATTCATATAACATTTAGTAGTTTTCAATATTAAAATGAATATGACTAATTTCTCTTACCTTGATATTTCTTTGAAGCATTAAAATTAGGAACATCAACACTTTTACTCAGACTTTCGACATCCGACATATTGTCTGAAAAACTTCGTACAATATTTCTTGTTGAATTGTCATCAGCGTTTATACTTTTTTCATCCACAGCTGATGATTTAATTTCTTCTTTGATAAGTGAAGGTGGTTCGCTTTTAACTTTTACTAATGTATTTTCATATTGTTCTTCCAATGCTAATAATTCATCGCCATTATTATCTCCAAATATATTATCATCAGATTCCCCGTTGCTATTATTACAAGAGTGTTAATTTTAATGAAGACATGTTTTCTAATGAAGACACAAATTTATATTCATCTCACCTTTCATCATTGGTACAAGTAAAGTAATATTTAAGAATGTATTTGTACACCCAGGAATTCTTCTCTGGTACAGTACGTGCAACTGGCGGAGCTGGTTTATCGATATAGATAACATTTTTATCATTATGCCTTTTAATGGTCACGGGTAAGATCCATGAATTTGAATATTTCGGTCCAATGTTATTTACTAAACAATTGAGGCCACTTGATGAAATCACTAGATCCACATTATTACTTTCAGCCAATTTATGACAATGTGCATCTTCACTTACAGGTAATTTCCAATAAATAGATTTGGTGTAATTATTCTTCTTAGGATACCTTTTTCGTAACATTTCTGAATTTATATGTAGCTTATATGGTTTTTCAAAATTTGGCAATATTATCTCTTTTCCCTCACCCTGGATGATGACCAATACTTAATTCATTCATTTATCTTTAATCAATTGTATTTGACGGTATAACATTATTTGATGTTTTGATTTACTTACTCCTTGTAGACAGTCAGAAATAAATTTTACTTCAACAAGTTTATCAGCTTTGAACGGTATGTTCGTTATTTCAGCATAAAACCTAGGTAATGTATAAAAATACTCTAACTTCGCTTTCCAACATAAATTTATGAAATCTTCACATTTAATTGTGTGAGTCCTCTCAGGCCATTTACTTTTTGCAAACTGTAAGAACTCGTCTTGCTCTTTTGTTATTTGTGGTTGTAAATCCTATAAGAGTACAATTAGTTGCTTATTGCAGGCCACATGAAAGAATGATATATTCTGTAATTCCTTAGAAGAAAAAATTATTTTAATAATTTTTAACATGTATTTTACATACTACGTATTTTTGTAAATCTTCTCTTTCTGCTTGTGTCAACTTCGGCTTGCTAGATTCTGAAAATCTTAACAATACTTTTAAGCACATGGCCTGTTGCGTGTCATTTAATGTTGACTTTTTTGTAGGTTTAAATATTGATTTCACTATGCCAGGTACATAATGTTTGCTTATTTTCGGCTGTTTAGATACAGGTTGTTTAGATTCTTCTATCTCCATCTCAGTTTCTTCAGTACTCTCATGATCATTTAAATCAGGGATATCTCCTTTCATTGAATCAATATTAACATGCTCATAGTCTGCTTCAATATCTTTAAATGGGTCTGTAAAATTGCCAGTTATAATTTTATACATAACAGTTTCCTTTTCTAATCTTTCTTCATCAATGAAAGTGTTCTCCAACATGTCTTCTAAAGGAGGATTCCTAAAAAATATAAAATTACATTCTTATTCATTTATAATAATGAATAACAATCATATTAAATGTTCTCAATGTTGCTCTTACCAGTCAATATTCAAAAATCTCTCCATGTTTGGTAGTTTATAGTAAACTGCCAAATAATTAAAATCCTTTTAAATTCTTACATAGATTTAAATAGATTTAGTTCGATGGGAACTTTGACTGGACTGTTTACAGTTGACGGGGTTGACGGCAGTTATACTCTGTTATACATATAAAATAAAGATACAAACAGAGAGATCTCTGATACAAATACGATATCATAGAAACTTGGATCATAGATGGGAGTCATTCTTCAATATGGCTGATACGATATTAAGATGTTTCAATATCTTATTTATAATAAATTTGAACTAAATGTTTAGTAATCAAGATTTATTTCCTTTAATTCAACTGGAGAAGGAATTACTGATTTGAACAATATGAATCTGGAAGAATATCAATTACATTTCTACTTGATTTGAATGCCCTCTGGAAATACGTTTCGTAGCGTAACTTTCGAACTGTTGCGTCAGCCATTGAAATATCTTGGCTGAATTCAAGTCTGCCTTGAGGAAATCAGTGGTTATACATCGATCGACGCATATCTTCACGCGTAGACAGCAGACGTCTGCGATATTCTGATCACGCGGTTACTAGTCAGACAAAGTAAGTTCGATTTTTATTCTTTTTTTGTCATTTTCGATACCAATTTTCGATACTACTTGTTCCTTCCGCGTCATTCTACTTAACAGTAGTTTTAAAAAATCTTATCGATAAATTGTTCAGTGAAGAATTACGTTGGGCAACGTAGTTTACGTATAGCGAATGAACTAAGATTTTTGGAAATTAATCAAATTGAGGGGAGTAAGATGTGTTCGTAGTCATCTTTAGTTGTTTCATTCGAGTGCAAAATTAGTTACGTAACGGTACTCTTATTGAGTTACAATTCCATATTATCATCTATTCATTCATAAAAAGTTCCATATTCCTTAATAAAATTTGTCTCTTTCACTGTTGGTGATTTTAACAAGAATCCCGTGAATTGGTGTTAGGTAACTGGTGATAAAAGTTCCGAGCACGTGCACTTGCATAAGACATTTTGCAGCCTTTTATGTTCGAATAATCTCTTATACAGAGTTATGCATATTTATTTCTTACTAAAAATATTGAACAATGCTTTCATTCATAAACTCTCATTGATATTTTCAGTTATTTTACATTTTGGAGTCTATGTCCCTATTCATTCCGTACGTGCACATGCTATCGCAAAAATGACATAATAAGGCATGAATGCACGCTTTAATTTGTAAATTCTCTCGTACTTCCGTTAGATTAGATTACGAATCGGTCATAAAATCTACTGTGCCAGAATTTTGTCGGTACTGCCAGCTCCCAGACGCAATTTGACCTTTAGACAAGTGCTGGCTACGTCAATGTCATCGTGGCAGTTCCAATATTAGATCCTTTCATGCTGTGTTCTTTCTATTATAACACATTGCTAATAAGTAATTTAAAACTAATTTCTTAAACGATCAGCAACGATTGCCATATTACTTTATCATTTTCCTTATCGAGCATATCGTGACACGTGCTGAACGGAAATTCTTATACTTTCCAGCTATCGATACGTACATGGACTTTTTTCACTTACCAATTATTGCAATTTTATTTAATGATTATATTTATAACATGTAAATATATGCAAGTTTCTTGTGCAATGATATTACGAAACCTAAGATTTTTGTTCTCGCATTTCGCGCTTATGTAATCGAGTGTGAATTAGAATGATCTGAACGCATCGCGAACACAATAGATTAACGAAAAAGCGTGGGTACCGAGGAATTTATGTTTAAAAAATTTTTTCAGGCTAGGATATAATGGGTGTCCCCGCTGGCGATCCAGAGAAAGGAAAGAAGGTAATAAAATCCAATGTTTAATATACCTTATTCAATTCACTATTCGTTACTTGGAATTTATCGTTTATGTATATTATAACTACGCGCGAAATTCCGAGCTCGTGACGTACGAAACTGTCGAGACGATTACGTGTGATAAAACGATCATTTTAATCGCTTCGGATACGAATGTACATGGTTTTAATACACCTCCGATAAAGTATTGATAAAATATATTGCTCGTTACACTAATTACTTATACGCGATTATTTTCCTTTTACTTAGATCTTTGTACAAAAATGTGCACAATGTCATACGATCGAAGCTGGTGGCAAACACAAAGTGGGTCCCAATCTGCACGGTATAGTCGGTAGAAAAACGGGCCAAGCTCCTGGTTACAGTTACACGGATGCAAACAAAGCGAAAGGTATGTCTTTGAATTCTGAATTATCATATATATTTATACATTTTACATTTTGAGAGGTAATTAACAGTGTCCATGTATATTATTTTAGGCATCACGTGGAACAAGGATACGTTGTTCGAATACCTCGAAAATCCGAAAAAGTACATTCCTGGTACGAAAATGGTGTTCGCCGGTTTGAAGAAGCCGCAAGAACGAGGCGACTTGATCGCGTACATTGAACAAGCATCGAAGTAAGCTTAGACACTCGTCGACGATGATAAAACACGCTAGACGTGTTTGGCGGGGACAGAGGGAAAACTAGTACTATTATCACTCTTCGGCCCTCGGAGACCCCGCTACATCACACTCGACTCATTCATTAATTCTCCCCCATCTGGTACTCAAACGTTCGAGCAACGTCCGAATAGTGACGAATTGTTGTTATTAATTATAAGTAGGTGTGTCATGCATATTATAATGTACATTGACAGGAGTCGGTCTGAAAGATCTTTTGGATCTGACTCTGCTTCATCGTATTAAAGATATTCTGGTGCTCTCTTGTAGTGGCTGAGCCATTACGTGCACTATTATTTATTTATGAATACGAACTGTTCAAAACGTTCGAATACAAACTGTAACGTAAATGCATATGAAAAATACAGATTCGAGGACGAATTTGTAATCACTTCATTTCCGGTGTTGTCGACTAACGTGAAGTATGAGACAAAGTACAAAAAGGCAATATAATGATACGCCCTGTCAACAAATTCGATCAGATCTTGTTGGTATCAAACGAAAAGAAATTGTATTAATTACACGAAGGAGGAGATAGTGTCAATAGTAAAAATATGAGAATTCTATTCGAGAAGTGAATGGAAATAAAATAAATAATTGAAACGTCTGGTTGTAATATCTCTAAGTTAAAACCACTGTGATATAGGAGACGTTAGGATAATATTTATGCCACCTCGATAAGAGAGGAAGGAAGGATGCGGTTAAAAAAACCCGGGAAGCGACCCGAGGCTTTGTACAATATTTTGTCGAAACTGGTCACATTTAGATTTCGTTCGGTCGTGAATTCACGTTCTCTCGCTCGAAGTATGGAAAACGAGTCTCAGTTTTGTGAGGAGCGAATTCGTGTCGTGAGAAATAGAAGAGATTCTATGAGACTTCGATTAGTCCGCGTATTTAGTTCCGGGTCTTTGAAGAGTCCGAGAAGTCCGTCGAATGTTTCGAGCTCTCGAAGCTCAAGTCCTGGTTACAACATTTCGTGGTTTTTACCCTCGCCTAATGAGTGTCACTCGCCGTGTTCGACGGAAAGCGGTGCCTCGGCTTTTTCTCCAAAGTCGATTACGAGTAACAGTGCTATGAGTTCTCGACGTTCGCTTAATTATTCGCCATGTGACAACGAAAGGTAAGGTCTTTTAATTTTGTACACATACCGACACGTTTGGGCATGCATGCGAAATTTGAATTATACAAGCGTGAACAGAGGAATTTAAAGTGTAACGTCTCTATTGTTCCTTGTTTGTAAAATACTCCTACTTCCCAAACAGTATTCGAAGCAAAACCACGTGTCAGAATTATCATTTTACTTAAATTAAAACATCGTGGAGAATTTACGAAGGTAAACGAAAATACAAATACGAAGAAGCTCGTACAGTTTTATAAGAACGTGAAGCTAGAAATTGAGAGAACAGATGGGTGATTAAAAAGTGAATGCACGAGGTAAGGTGCAGACAGGACGGGTCGATGCAGCGCCGGCGCCGCAGAACATAACCAAGCAAGAAGACGAGCATCCCCACCAGGTTGCGCCGTCGGAAACGATCGCGTCGACGCGTGTATATGTATGTAGATATGCGCGGAAAACAGAGCGAGAGGAAAAGCGTTTCTCTGTCCCTCGTCCTCTTTCCTCCTCGTTTCCCGTCGCTCGACGCTTCTTGTCGCGCGAACGCACCTCGCCTTGTGTTCCGCAGCAGAACATTACACGAAGCGCCTCGAACCAGTGTGGAACGGTTTGCTGCAAACCACCGGGGCAGTCCTCGCATTTGCCTCCTCGTGGAGAATTAGGAATTGAAATAAAACTCGCACAGGTATGTAATCTAACGCACCCGTTCCGACATCGGATCTCCTCTTGTTTACACATCGATTATCTAGCTAATCCAACGTATTACAAATACAATTTTTACCTGATTGTCCCTCGAGCGCGAGGCGAATTGTAACTAAACAGAATTGTCATGCTGTAAAGCTCTGACAAGAATTCTTTGAGACATTATCCTGCAACGCGCGCGAATACGTATCGTCAATAGATTCCTGTTTGGACTCTCCCAAATATTGCATTCGAAAATCGTCATTTTTATCGTATTTTACTTTCAACTCTCAAATTTGTCCTTCCCCCCTCGTTTGAGCTTCCGTCTCGTAACTACTGTGACTCGTACCCAAAAACTCCCAGCGTTTGTCCGTTCGTGTAACGGTTCCTTTCAGATGTATCTGATAATTTATAACCCCTTAGGTTCATTAATTGAGCCATATATTTAAGAGTGAAAGACGTTTTATTTCATTTACTAATCGCCGAAAGTTAGTGTTTCCCTTAAATACATTCGATCGTGTAAATCCTTGTAAATGATCGTTCCTGTGTTTGCGAAGAGTTGGAAGCAATTTGTATCTCATTGTTTGTCAAAATCTTATAGAGAGACGGTAGAGGTGCGTGGTAAAACGTACTTCACTTTCAGTCTTTCGAGGGTCTGGTAACAGCCTCGAGCAAAGAGCATGATTTAGGCCAGACGGTGTTTCCTAAAGCATGTAGGCGTACATACGCTCATACACCATCGGGCATATCAAGGCAGACAAGACACGTTCATTTACACACACGCGTGTTCTTGACTATACCTATTTGTAGCCTGCATCATCGGGCAAAAAGTAGGTCTAGGGAATCAGCTGACCGAAAGAGACGCGTGCGCTTCGCTAAAACCAGAACACATTTGGAACGCCCACTACATATATGCATACATACACACTGTGTATCCACCTACTCTTGAAATTCCGGAAAACGTGTGTCCTCGGATCGTTGATAAGCCTCGCAAAAAGTATTCGTTTAATCAATCACTGATTACCCTCATACACGCCGTCACATACATCGATATACGCAAATAACGTTTTATATTTAGAAATATAGGCCATGCATGTTTGATTTACCTGTACAGTGGTTTTACACTGCCCCTCTTATCAGTGAATTGTTTTAACATTTTTTAATGTCAAGGAGGAATAGGGTTTCTCAATTTTTTTATAAAAAAAAAACCAGCGTAACAGAGTATGAATCAGGTACAATATATGAATTAGTCTTACGAAGCAAATGATGCATTTTAAGTAAAAGTCATATGAACTCAGCTATTATTCGATTCAAAACAGTTTTAATTTAAGCGCAAACACTTACATTCTCTCTTAATATATCTTTTATTTTTCTGTTCATATAAAAATATCGTGATCCATACATTAAACTAGACAATCACTATAACAATCTACTCTTTGCAATAAATGCGTAATGGACCTTCGACCATGACCGAGTAAACGTTTAGCGCGAACATAGTCAAGGTCGATACGGCAAGGTTCACGTGAAAATGAGAAAATTTTCAAATTGCTACATCAATCCCTTCATCCTTATTATTATGATTACACGTTTCTCAAGATATAATTTATCATCTAAATTCGATGATTTCGTTTTCATGCACGTACGATCGCGACGCTCTCTCCGTTGCATAAAGCGGCTTTCTTAAACAAAAGAGGATTTGTCAGTGAAAGGGATTTCACTGTCGGCCGTGAGAAAAAAAGTAGTACGGTGACATACGGGGAAAATCTCATTATTTAACCATACTACGGCCGGCTTACGGCTCTGCGGTCTGAAAATCGTTAGTCGTCGATGTCGTCGTCGTCTTTTACTTTATTATGCCCCGTGCTAGCCAACTTGGAAACTTTCTTCGATCACCAGAATATTTAATGACCCACGGTTGTGTACATTTCGTTGGAAGAGTCTAGTCGAATCCCCTTATTTGAACGAACTAGTCGGAGATAGGATTCGCGGTGCACACGGTTAATAACCGTAAAATACATGAGTGAAACATATAATCAGACCGCTGCGTGTATATCATAAAGACACGCGAGAGGAGGCGATCAATTAACTGTAAAAGGTAACGAGCACGTAATGAAAGCAAGCTCCGGGTATATTACGGTAATTAACGCGCGCAGTTTTCCTTGATTCGCTCGAAGCTGAGCGAGACGTTTTCCTTCCGCGTTTAGTAAAGTTTCTAGACGAAAACGCGATTCCCATGGTTATATCATTGAATTAGAAAGGTGATCGTGCGAGGTCCTGATTAATCGTTTCGATGATGATCTAGCGATGAAGTACTCGCCGCAGCAGCAGCAACAGCAAAAGGAAAGGAAGTCGGAGAGCGACGTCTGCTCGATCGAGGCGACACCGAAACGGGGAGCGCGACGACAATCGACGTCGACGGAGTGTAAAGATTCGTCGAATTCGTTGGCGGGCAACGCGATCTACCGTTCGCCATCGACGGGGATATTCGCCTGGATGCGCGTGTTCCGGCTCGCCACGATGCTTCACCAAGTCGGCTGCTAGAGCCGAGCGTCACGGAGCAGACGGCCGACGCGCCGCTAATTCATAGATGTATTTAACAAATTAAAATTTAAAGTACCGCGTACACGTGTGCACCCATCGCGCCCGCACTCGTGCAAAGGCCAGGTCGCGCGCGCGGTCACACGTGTACAGGTGCGCCCGACGACCCTTTCCTCTTGGTCGTGATTTACCTATCCATAGGGTTTGTCGGTTTGTAACGTAGGCACGACCGACACGGTAGCTCAAAACTATAGTGCGTTACGCAATTTCGTGTTAACAGCCACGGGCGTCGTACTGACTACGTTACGCCTACTTTTACGTAGATTATTATCGAGTGTTACGTACATGTACATACGCGTGTCCTCGCGTATACGCGCATACCGATAAAACCGTTTCTCGTAAGTGCGTATACACGCGTGTGCATCGTTATACGCATACGCATACGCATACGCATAGAGCGCAGTCCCGGATTCCCAGTAAATCAAATTGGTCGTAAGCGAATCGTATTAATTAGCGTAAGCTTCGAGATCGGAGGTAGTTCGTCGCGACTCATTGCAGGTGATCCGTTTTCAGGTGCCCAACCCCCTCTTAACGTTATTCTCCTTTATTCGGTTCAGGCCAATTCGAAGTCGAGTTACATGTGCACGCGTGTACGATTTACCTGCCATAGTGAATACGGTTTTTTAGCTTATACACGAATAGTGATAAGGATATAACGTGGTGCTATGTTTAAAACATTCCTTGGCTATCGAACTATCTTTCGTTTCTTTATTTTAATCTCTCCGTTTCATCTTCTTTGTGTGTTAACCCTTTCTCTGTCGGCCCTTCCCTCCTATACGTGTATCTCTACGTCCGTGGTATCGATTCTTTCTTGAACAACGACCATCGTTGTATGAATAAAAAACAATCGTACTCTTATTCTGTATTATCCGTTGTACTACTTTCGAAAGCAAATAACTGGATGATGTATCGTAAGTTTTATCGCGGTTGGTCCGACGGTCTGCATTTATTTCTGTACGTTTAAAACGTTTCTACTATCGCGCGCGCTTCAGGTATCTACGATCACGAATTAATATCCGATTTCTCCCACCCTCTCCAATCGATGCGATCGTTAAGAAGATCTGTCAGTTACTGATATCGATCGATATATTTTATGACTAACGCAAATCTACAAATAAATTCCATATTTGCTTTAACGCGCGATTCACTGTTTTCATGCGACAATCCTACAAGAAATCCCAAAGAAGAAAAAAAGGTATCTCCGTTACTGCGAAACTGTGGTGGAACTGCGGCCAGGATTTTTAGAAGTGCGTTTATCTTTGAATAATAAAAACGTTGTTCTCTCAAAGGTTAACACGTTCGTTGATTAATATCCAATCAGTCGTTTTTAATTGAGAAACAAGTTGATAATTTCGTGGAATAAAAGATCGTAGTCTTAGCACCTCGTAAACTCAAGTCGAGTTAGTTTAAGAAGGTGCGATTGAGCAACAACCATTTGTGGAGCATACGGAGGCAGAGAAGTAGTAAACGAAAGTGAGTCACGTTTGTGGGCTAAGAATAGATATGTTCCTTTACAAGGAACGTTTCATATCGGGTATACAAAGGGATCGAGGTATCCATTTTTAATTAAATCCATTAGCGGGTGTCGTTAAGGAGCTCCAATTTGAAATTGTAATTTATCGCAAGCCCCGTAGCGTTCTCGAATATGGGTTATCAGGTCCGTTTCAATTCGTACCTGACAACGATTGAAGCCTACAAGTCTTTATACGTCAATGATCTCATGTTGCTAGCTATCGGCTTTGAAGGATCTTTTTCTTGATGTCATCCATTTAAATCGAGGTTGCCTCTGTCGCGTCTGTTTAGTACATACAAATATGTTACTGCTACTTATTTCTTCCTGTGCTTTAGAAATACAATTTAATTTCTATTATGCTTGATTTAATTGCTCGTATTTAATGAGCAGATTTATTCTATTATAAAACGTAAAATGGAAGATTTTGTTTTAATAATTTGTCAAATGA